GAGTCTTTATGTTTAGATTATATTTGTGCCATTTGCTGTTGAAACTTTTGGTCCGTGGGGGAAAGTTTATGTCCTAGGCTTAACGCCGCGGCTGGTGACAAGAGAGCTGGTTCTTTTCTCGCTCAAAGGTTAAGCATAACTATTCAGCGAGGAAATGCAGCTAGCGTTCTTGGCACCATGCCGCGTGGATTAGGTTTATTAGATAATATGTAATTTTAGATAGATATAATCTTGTAAATATTAGATCAATAAAGATTGTATATTATTAAAAAAATATTAGACATAAGCAAGCGCCTTAATTAGGGGTATATATATTTTATAGGTTTTATAGGATATTGAAAAAGTAAACTAAAATTTGTATTAAATAAGTTTTCACTAACTATATGAGGAGTATACACTAACAAATGATGGACTTCTTTTGGTCTGAAATAGATGAAATAGTTTTTCTCAAATTTTTTAATTATGTATGTTGTATGCTATGTAATCTTGTATGCTGTATGTTAAACAGTTGAAGTATTCTATTTTATTAAATAGTTACTTAACACACTTTTTGGTGAATTCTATGAATACAAAATTCTTATATAAAAACACACTGCCTTATGAATATAAATAATTATCAATGCATCTGAGTAACTCATTAAGAGGAACATTTTCAAAAGCTTCTTACTTACGTCTGAAAATATAATTAACCTCCAAATTTCCCCCAAGACGCGAAAGCCTTCATTTGAAGATTTTACAAGCAGTTTTCACCGTAAAACCTTAGTGCGACGCGGCTTAAAATTTAATTAAAACATCAAATAGGGTAAGTAATGTTTTGAAAGACTGTAAGTAAATATTGCTTAGAGCAGTAGTGTTACTTAAATGTATATGAGCGTAAATTCATATATAATGATTATATTGGTACAAAATATTAATTATATTTAAGATGGATGTTTAAAGAATTATTTGTGATCACAAAACTGAGAACTACAATATTGTAAAATTATATTAGGTACTGTATTGACTGCTTAACTGTTTTAAAACGCATTGGATATTTAATTTATTGCTTAATTATTTATATAACTCCAGAAACTCTCAAAGCAAAATCAATTAGAATTAAATGACATATTCTGACATTTATTTTTACGTTTTAAATAAAAAATAACATGTAAATAATAAACAACGTGATTATATTCACATCTTATTACGAACAACCGCCACTTGTCGACGAACTTAGTAAATTGGCGTTTCATAATTAATTGTACAGCTGCCGCGGCTGGTGACAAGAGAGCTGGTTATTTTCTCGCTCAAAGGTTTTGCATAACTATTCAGCGAGGAAATGCAGCTAGCGTTCTTGGCACCATGCCGCGTGGATTAGGTTTATTAGATAATATGTAATTTTAGATAGATTTAATCTTGTAAATATTAGATCAATAAAGATTGTAAATTGTACAGTAATTTCAATTAATTTTGTAAAGGAAGTTGCAGTTGTTAAACGTTGAGATTAATGAGAGTTGGTTTATATAAAAGGGATTGCAGGTCACATTCAAGGTCGAAATAATAATACGTTCGTATAATACGCCGCGGTTCAGGCTAGGCGCCCCGCGCGCCCGTCCACTTCAAGTCCGTCGGATTTGTGAAGGCCCCTAAGGCCAACAGTGGATCATTCAGCCAAAAAAAAAACGTTCAAACTAGTGCTGTGCTAGAACTAGCTTGAATAGTCTGAAAATAAATCAAGCGATATTACTTGTATGTGTTTTTATTATAATCGAGTCTGGACACCATATATTTCTGGCCTGTCCCCGACATGATTGAAGTACGATAAAAGTTAACACAAAATTGTACCTATTGTAATTGTAGGTATCAGCGGAACACGAAAATTTCGGCCGTGGGTTCGATTCTTGTAAAATAGTCTCACAATAGAATAGTTGAACTGTCACGCTTGAAATGATTAACTTTGCTGGAAATTATATTATAGTCTCACAATCGGTGAACTGTCACACCCGAAATTAGTAACTTCAGTCTCTTAGCGAACTGTCATGCTTGGAATAAGTAACTTCGATGCAAAGTGAAAGACAGTCTCACAATGGGCGATCTGTCCTGTTTGGAATTAGTAACTTCGATGGAAAGTGATAACAGGCTCATTACAGACGAATTGTAACGCTTTGGATTTGAAACTTTGGTAGAAAATGAATTACAGTCCCACTCACTGTAGGTGAACTGTCACGCTTGGATTTTGTAACCTTGGTGGAAAGTGAATTTCAGTCTCAAAACAGGCGATAATGTCGCACTTAGAACTACGGGAGCGGAGTGAGAAGTCTGGTGATAACTTATTAACAGAATTCTTTTTTAGGGTCCGTACCCAACGGACCCAAGACTCCGTTGTCTGTATGTCTGTCCGTCTGTCACCAGGCTCACCACTATTTCATGAAAAGTGATAGTTAAACGGTTGAAATTATCACATGACGTATTTCTGTTGCCGCTATAACAACAAATATTAATAAAACAGAATAAAAAACAATTTAATGGGGCTCTTGAGGGGCAATGTTATTATTGTTTGTAAATAGCTTAAACTGAATAACAATATTTTTACTTAGATTTTGAATGATATTTACAACTTAAGGAATGCCCTTGTTAGAATTCGCATCGTATCCTGGCTATATAAGTGTTTGTGTCATTTGTGTTTTTGTAAATAGTCCTTTTTCGGAGACCACTTCATCGTCATCATTGCAGCTGATCGTTAAATTGTTCTCGTAAGGCCTCGCTTATCCATCCTTTTCCAGAATATTCCGCGCCCATGGAGGTACACAGAACGCCCGTAGATTTTATTTCAATTGAATTTCATCTATGATAGGACGACCATAATTAGATGGTGTGACGTGACGAGTGTGCGGGAACTCGATGGATGCAGATGGCTCAGAACCGTGCTTTGTGCTAGTCTGTGGAGGAGGCCTATGTTCAGCAGTGGACTCACAGGCGGAGATAATGATAATGACGATGATGGTTTGATTTCTTCGCTAATTGTTGTATTGGAAGCTTTCATATCATTAAAAATGTACGCGACAGCTTAGAAAACGGACATTGTACGAGATTTATATTAATCGGTCCTTGTCACGGTGTATTATACTATCTCTGTATTTTAGACTTGATAAAATATTTGATCTTGGGCTCTGTACAGCGAAAGGCTTAGCACCTGTCACATTCAGTATTTTTTTTTTAGTTATCAACGCTTAACAGTGTAGTTATTTACCGTTAAGGGCGTGTATAACACGCAATTTATGCTATATTATACAAGTATTAACGAAACAAATTTTCACAAAGTTATAACTATAGCTTTGTGTTTTAAGAAGTTTGTACATTTCAAGTTTGTTCATGCAGGTTTAATTGAAATTCATATTCAAAGGATGAAAAACACGACGTTTATTATTGTCAGTATACAAACGCTCATTGTTACTCATCGTTATACAAATATTTGGATTAATTTTATTGAAAGAATTTCAATATTTTCATATTTAATCAACAGCACATAACTGTAATTAATTATTATATTAAATTGGGAATTCAAAATAATTATTCTACTATTCTACTATTCTACTATGTAATATTTTATACGTAAATTCATGTAATTATTTATCAACACTTCATACAAATTAAAATATAAATATGCTCAAAACAAAGGTATTATCACCAAAACCAATGTGTTGTTGGAGCTTTTTAATGCCCTCAACTACACTACAGAGAAAACACAGAAAAACACGTATTGCATTTTACAGCTGTGTACACTGTTTGACATAATCATATGTTCTTGCCACGAATTATTGCGAAGGCTTTTGGCAGTGCAATCCGCTTAGCTAAAATCCTGTCGCATAAAATCATGATGGCCTACAGAGTATAGGATATAGGATGAAAATTAATTCTATGCACATTTTTACTATACTAGTATGCATGAAGTGAAATCCATTAAATACACAAAAGAAAATCGTAACACAAAAAAAAACATGCATACACGCAATAAATACAACTGCACAATAAATTACATTCACACAGAAAATAAATTAAATAAATACTTAACCTTAAAACTAACATGCTTCATAAATAAAAGCAAAACATAAATTTTCTATTTACACCTAAAAATAGTTGGATTAAATTATATTAGCGGAGATACCATTTAATTTATTATCACATAACAAAAAAAACAAACTTGTTTTTTCTGTTCTGTAATTTACATACGTTAAAAATAAACAATATTCCAGTTAAATTGTAATTGTGTCTAGCTCCTGTAATGTCAGGTTGTTAAGTCTGCGCCTTTTAATTAAATTATAAATTTGAGGCTATTCCTTAAGATAAATAAACGCTCAAAGGTTTTAATTGAAATACGTATTTAGAGTACAATTAGCAATGAAGAAAAAATAATTTATTAAATTAAAGTCATCTTATTCGAATTTCGACAAAAGCTTTAGACTAAAAAAAATTATGCCCTTTTTCAGCTATTTGTAAAGAGTGAATAGGAGAGTCATTTTTTTATTCATATCTATTATTTACGGAGTTCGTTCATAAGCGAACATTTTGGACATAGATAACTTTTTGAAGTAAAATATGTAGAAAAAGTGCGAAAAGATTGTCGCCGCTGTGGGAATCGAACCCACGTCTTCGGCATTCGCGGCCTGACGCTCTAGCCACTGAGCTAAACGGCTGATTGCCACACCGACGAAAATCTTTTCGCACTTTTTCTACATATTTTAATGTTCAATCTTAAGTGCAAAGATTAGCACTATAAACAATTTAAATTTTTAAAGTAAGTTCACATTTGATTAAATAAATCGAAGTTCACACACTATTTTCTATGCTCTTCATCACATTCTCATTTATCGACAGAAATTGTACCAAGGTATCGGATACATGTTTCACGGTTGAAAATAAGATTCAGTAAAAAAGAATGGAGTGCTATCTTTGTTTTATGCCGTCCACGTTAATTCTTTTAGTTTCGTAAAAGGAGTACGTCTAGAATTGCTTCAACTTTACAGCATAGTCTTTCGCCTGTTGGAATCTGCAAAAGAAACAAGTTCGCCGTTAAGAGCACTTTACAAACAACATTTACTGGAATGAGTTTCCGAAGGAGCCTCAAACTGTTAATCTATTACCACTCTCCAAAGAAACAGACGTGACAAGCTTATAAAAAACTAATCAGGTTTCTCAGACTAGTCTTCATTACTTAGCTTGTCAGCCTTACTTAAGACCTTAATATAAGTCTGCCAGCGAGGGTTTATTAAGTGATGGAAGGTAATGCACTAAATTACAACTCTTCCTTGCGTATGCCGGCGCGATCCTTTCAGCTGGTTTTGATATATGATAGATTGTGAATCACAAAAATACTTGTCATGACTAGTTATCATTTCTTAAAATTTCGAAATTGGTTACTGATTTGAAGTCTAGATTGTCTCACCCGTCAGGTCCTTAGCTTTCTAGCGGTCACGAGCTTGTTGATGTCGTGGTAAGCCGCTATCATTGTGTGAGACGGTGTCGCGTTGGAGGTACATGTGGGGTGGGCGCTAATGCAGTCTGCTCCTTCTTGACCACGTCTTGCCGCCCTCATGTAGCGGAAGAAGCGCAGGATCTCTGGATTGTCCGATACCGGCCTTCGCAATTCATTTAGCTCCCTGTGCAAGATATATATAAAGAGGTGATTGTAAACAAGCATGAATCATCATCATGATTATGGTCTTTAATGATTACCAGTGATGGTCATGATCAACACTTCTGAGTTGTTAACCATGATGTTCTAGAAACATCTTCGTGCCATTGCCTTTGAAAATGTATTGTATCGGAGTTTACAGATTCGAGAAAGCGCGAATATATTCGTGATATTTCCTCGATCGGAACGACTCGTTTTGGCCACAGCAGAAGCCGCTGAGTAGGTCTCCAGCAGGCTTTGGTTTGGGATGTTAGAGGACATAGTGTAGTGTATATGTATTTTAAAAATAACATAAACAACAGATTTCATAAAAATTTCGGTCACGGCGGTCTTTCCGTCGACCTGGGAACCTTCAAGAAGAGCATACTCCTAAAAGGCCGGCAACGCAATTTTAAGCCCTCTGGTGTTGCAGGTGTGTTAATGTGAAACTCCTGGTCGTTTGCCACGTTTTTCCACAAAAAAAAAAAAAAAAAAGAAAAATTTTCACGGTTTCCTTGGTACCTGCTCAACTGGGCCGACACGAGGTTGCTGTAGGGCGCGTACTTCGCCGGGCTGGCGTACATTAGGCAGATGAGCTGCTCCCGGCATGACTCAAGCTTGACGTCACTCACACTTTGACCACCGACCTGCATACCGTTGTCGATCGCGTTCTCAGACGGCGCCAGACCTATTCGCAACAAATTGCACCTTTATATATGCGTAAATAATATTAATAATAATCGTTTATTTGTCTAAATATACATACACTGCATCGAATAATTAAATAGAAAAAAAAAATGTGAGCCGTCACGGGACGCCTGGCAGATGTGAAACATCGACATTATTTTGTAAAAGTAATATGCAGAAAAGAACAGATTGTGATAGGAACTAAATATGTCATAATGATAAAATAAAATATTACGATTTTTTTCCAGATAACGATGACTGTAATAGAATAAACATTTATTTTCATTAAATACAAAAATTTACGAATTTATTTCAAATCGTGACTACTTAATTCGTTGAATCAGTGACTTCGGTAATAGTACATACAATCAATTAAAGTTAATTTAATTAATAAATAATTATTAATTGTTGTATTAAATAATATTATTAACTGTTGTATTAAATAATTATTAACAATTAATTTAAATTTGAGTAATTAATCGTACACACTACTGCATATAGACTGTATATATATACTATCATATAGCGTGTTGAACGTCAGAAATTAGTTTTACGTACGGCTATAAATGTTTCACATAAAAAAATAACAATTATTTAGACAAAATGGTCAAGGTCTCAAAGTTGTAGCACGAAAGGTACACCATAATTTACATAAAGAACATATACAATGTGTGTGTCTCGCTGCAATTGTTGAACGGGTGCGAATGAGGAATAAATTTAAACATTTTTCAAGACAAACTTTTAGAAAACGTTAGTCTTTTCCCCAAGTAAGCGAAGGTCGCAGTATGGGTACTGGGTATTTTTTTGTGTGAAAGGGGTTGGGTCGTAAGTCCCAACGACCAATGCCACCTAGAAAGATCTATTGTGATCTTCCCTTCGAAAACATTTCCCTATTACTGTGGTATAACATCATCCTGTGTTGTATGAAAACAAAAATTTAAGGTGGACAAGCAACGAGATACGGAGCAATTATCTGTGGGTCCCACACAAAATTTCTCGATTGTGCGAATCGAAACCACAACCCCCGGCGCAGCCGCCAATACCTTGCAACTGCGCCACGGAGTCAGGTGAGTAACTGATAAACATACTTTTTTTTGTATATGTATAAATATGTATTTAAGATGGAGCACCCAGTAGTTTATCACAAAAAGTTTTTCCACTAGCCTGGATCGAACCTCACTCTCTGTGAGTTTATGATATTTTAATATAATTTTGAACAAAAAAAACCGACTTCAAACAGGAAACTAATAAAATCATTGTCAACACCTATAACATTTAAAGATTGCCCTCAATTTCTCTGGGATGCCATCATCAGATCAGGGTTTCCTTATCATGGTATCACCCTTGGGATATCTCCTTTCCAACAAAAAAAGAAACATCAAAATCGGTTTATAAATGACGAAGTTATCCCCGAACACACATAAAAAATATGTATATACGGTCGAATGGAGAAACCGCCTTTTTTGAAGTCGGTTAAAATTGTGAAAAATTACATGTTACTAACAGTATCAAATAGAACTATGGATTATACTATTCAATTACTACTTTCTAAGCTGGTCAGACATAAAATAAGTAATTTAAAGAACTGACAATGGCTCGGGTATCGACGATCATGACCACGAATGCTGCGAAGTATTCTAAACATTGAGAAATTAAATTTTACATGCAATCAGTTGGATCACCGCATAGATTTTAACAGCACTTACGACGTTGCAGATGCGTTGCCACCCCTTTAAAGTGTGACCCGGCTATCTCCCTCACCAGACGAAACGCAACAAAATATGAAACGATGGTACATCCCGGTACGAGCCATTCCATTCGTGAAACAGAAGAGGTGATACAAAATTAAACGCGAAAAAATCCGTAAAAAATATATTTAAAATATTATTTGTAGGATATTAAATACCTACTTTAAATTACATACCGACATGTATTGACTCATTTATACGTACAGATAAATAAAATTATAGTCTGTTTGTAATATTAAAATAACCGCTTTTTACTAAATGCATATGAATGTATACACGGTACATATCTATTAAAATAAATAAAATTGGAGTGTATGTTAGTAATATTAAAATAACCGCTTTTTACTCAATACATATGGATGTATACATGGTACATATACAAAAATATAAATTTTTACAATTTTTGTCTGTCTGTCTGTCTGTTTGTTCCGGCTAATCTCTGCAACAGCTGCACCGATTTTGACAGGACTTTCACTGGCAGATAGCTGATTTAATAAAGAGTAACTTGGCTACTTTTATTTTAAAAAAAATATTTAATTTAAATTTTCACGCGGACGAAGTCGCGGGCACAGCTAGTACCAAAATATATTTTTTTACAATTTTTGTCTATCTATTTGTTCCGGCTAATTTCTGCACCGATTTTGACGGGACTTTCACTGGCAGATAGCTGATGTAATAAGGAGTAACTTTTATTTTAGGTGTTTGTTTATTTAAAATACCACGCGAACGAAGTCGCGGGCACAGCTAGTTATGAATAAAAAATATGCATGGTACGCATATCTTTTGTGTTGAGGGGTAGGGCCAATGATTTTTAAGTAACTACTAGCTCTGTGAGGAACTTCAATGCTTTTTAAGATTAAATACTTTGGTTCGTCTGAGACCTAGTAAGCTCATGGTTTCTAGGTGCAAGCATATTACTCATTATATCAGTATACTACACGACTCAACAAACTGCTTTTGTGTTATAAATGCAGTTGTAAACAAGGAACAAGTTAATTAGAACTTGTACTCTTATATATCAGAATAATTTAAATTTATGAGCTCGTTTCTGTTGGAACCCGAGCCAGTAGATTGCAATAATGGGATCGCGTAACCGCACAACTATGGAGCATGAGAATTATTAGTTTGCTAGCCTGCAGATGCATTGTAATTGTGTCCTTTCACAGACAGTGATACTATAAATATATATGTATACTAGCGAACCGGAGAGACGATGTCCTGTAGACACTACTTAATTTCGGAAACTTAAAAATGAAAAATAAATGTAGTGGACCGATTTGTGAATGTAAACCATTCTCGCATCGACCTGAAGACACGCAAAAAATTCTTTAAAATCGGTCCAGCCGTTTAGAAGAAATTCAGTGACATACACGCGTACAGAATAATTATATCTATATACAGAAGAATTATGTATATAGATAGAGATATTGTATATTCCTTTAATTTCATTTCTCTAGTGGCATAATATTTGTGGTTCTCTACAAGTGCTCATTATTGTTAAAGAGGTAGATTCTGGTCCCTAACTTTACTGGTTCATAACTTTAACAATTAACTAATTAACAATTAACTCAGTAACTTCTATTACGGAGGAGTAGTCCGTCATTTTAAAGCGAGAAAAAAATATGACATGAATGTATTAAATCATTGACATATTTATGAGAGTAATGAAAAAAATCTTCTACAGTAGGTATGTATTTCCTCTTTCTGGGACAATAATGTTAGTAATATTCGTAAAGAATTAATTTCCGCTTGAATAGTTTTAGAAATTCTAAATTTGTACGAAAAGTATTCTAAATTATTCTACCGTAAGAGGGCTGATATGGCATAAGCTTCGACAACCGTCAGCAAGAATCTGTAGTAATCTTCAACGAGATAAGAATAGATGTCAAATAAAAAAAATAACTATGTATTCACATAGCTTGCGCGTTCTTAGGAAATATCGAAATTTATTTAAAGTTATATAGTAATGTCAAAATTTATGTATTGATGTACAGTTTATCTTGTATTGTTGGTCTTGCTCTTGTTTTACTTTTTCTTATATTTAAAGATTTGCAGTTCAATATTTTTTCCCCTTTCTCTGTTTGTTACTTAATTTTTTTAAGAAAATTTAGGGTATTGTTGAATTTTAAGTGTAAAAACTCAGATGTACGAATATGTTTGTCGATATATTTATTATTTATCATTATATGAATAATAATCTCAGTAAAAATAATTAGTGAAGGTAGTCTCTCGTCACCTTCAGGGCTAAAATACGTTAGCTCTGGTTTTATTTTAATAATTTCATTTTTCTTTTTCGTTCTGGTATTACGAATTTAATAAATTTTAATTCACACCGAATATTTTGAAAGTCTTAGAGAAGAGAAATATTAGTTTTGTATCCAGATGTTTTCTAACAAAGTTAAAGTGGAGAAAACTTCTTTAACGAAAGTTAGACTTAGTTGGAAATCTAATGCGGAGTTTTGAGAGACGTATTTAATTCAGGAAAAGGCAACCTTAATACATGAAAAATCCAATTTGTTATCAATTTTATAACAAGTAAATAAAATACCACTTGCTAAGTTCTTTTTTTAAACACCATGAGTACATCATCACAACTTTGCATATATATTTCATTTATTTAAATGTATAAGAAAAGGATTAATTTTCTTAACCTTCAAACTTTTGTTACCTTAACGTAAATTTCGCTATCTTTTTCGCTTCTAAATTTTGCTTCCAATCCTTAGAATCATCAATATGTTTATAAGAGGTCTGTAGTAAAAAATCCATAACAAGAGGTCTGTAGTAAAATCTTTCTTACCTAATCTTGCGAAGATACCATCGAGACGAGAGAGCAAGGGCGAATAAAACGGGTCGTAATTGCTGAGGATCATCGAGGACGATGGAATCTTCTGGAAGATCTGAAAACGAGAAATAAAACTGATACAGTGTTTGCGGTGAACTGTTTTTCTCAGTATTAATATCATAAATATGAATTATTTTTAAAACAAAATGCTTTGAACAAATTAAATAATGAATATGAAAGAGTCGATTGATCGATTTATTAAATAGAATATTAATCTCTGCGAATAGAAAATACAATTTTTCTTTTAGTTAATCAAATTTGTAATGTTTTTCTTATTCACAGGCATACATAAGATTATCAATAACATCAGTCAAGATTTTAAACCAATTTCTGATTCATTATGACATACTCGATATCTTCACAAACCAAATTTTGGTGCAGCAGAAATACTAATCAGTATACTCATCCTCTTAACCGGTACTAAATACATCAGACAAGTTTCATATGTCAATTTAGCACCGAATGTAAATGTTAATCCACTGGATTGTTCACAAATCGTATGATTATACGGAGAAATCGTCTCGCATTGCTGCCGCTCGGTGCTAAGCGTCGAGTTTACCGTTTGTCGGTCGGTCTGTTAAAGCAACCTAATATCAACAATATACGTAACGCGGTTTAGATACGGCCGCAATGTATCAACGACTTTACGACTGTCCCAGTTTTGTTCACACATTGTGGCAGTTCGGATGGCCATTTGCGTTTGCGTATTTGCTGTTTGGCAAGCTATCGACATCTGTGGACAGAATATGCTGTTATTTGCTGATGGATGACATACGGAACAAACAAGAAACATCCGTTGTCCCATGCTTGTCGGTTTCTCGGTACATCAAAGACGCCAAACAAATATACAATAACAAAGATACTCACAAAAATCGACTCAGAGATTTATATGTGATAAAAGAGGAAATAACAAGAGGTATCCTATAAGCAAATATGACAATATTTGCACAACAAATATTTCTTCCATATATCTTAACAATTGAGAGTGGCTTAAATCAGGATATCGAAAACGTTGAGAAGGCAGAGATGGATAACCAGTATAAACAATAATGATGGGCGTTCGTATAAACTCAATATGATATCGTTTTCGCTTGAAGCCTTCTGCTTGTCAAAGTCAGTCAGAAACATAAGTAAACATTTGACTACCTTATAATTGTTGCCGGACATTTGGTTTTTGTAGTAACTATTCTTGGTTGGCAGGTATGACACTTTTTGACCGCCCGCGCCGAACCTGTAACAAAAAATTTGAAATGCTTACATGAAAACGATCTGAATACCTCTGTTATTTTTTTTAATTTTTACACTTTCATGCCTATGATATTATCAATTACCCGCGGACTTAGAAAATCCCAAAATATGAAAATGTATTTAATTAATCCAATTCAAACGTGACTTTCAAAAAAGTAATAATTTCTTTACTTGTGATTTTTTTAAGCTATTTTATAGCTTTTATCGCGGGCTTTGAGCGCGGCGACCGAATCAAGAAATTCCGTAACGGAAATAAAACCTAACACCCCCACCCCGCCTACCATGTAAGAGGAAAGATTTGCGAATAGCTTAGCGACTTAGTAGTTCTTATCACTTTGTCAATAATATAAATAAAAAACATATAATTATTTATAATTTATTAATATAAATATAAGTATCAAAGAAAAAGAAATACTGCATAAATAAATAATTATAATTGCATAAGTTGATAAAAGATGCTATGCAATAGCTTTACCGCGGCAGACCCCGAGTGCCACAGGTTTTTTAATAATATAAATTATTAATCTTGCAACATGGAAGAAGTTAGCACCAAACGTGACGTTGCTACGTCGTGCAAAAAATGTCAAATTACGATGATAAATTCTTGTATTTACGCAATTACACGTTATAAACGAAACTATTATTAATTTTGTGTAAATTAATAATTCAAAAACAGACTGGTTAACTATGCCATTCAGACGTCCAACTCCTCAGTCTGTCCCGTGACCATGCCGCTGTAAAGGGTTCGAAACGTCTGGTAAAATAAAGACGATATATCCGTAAAATTAGTTTCATTTACAATGTCAAATTACGAGTTCACTATAACAGAATTTAGTTTCACCTACCTAGACATGTCAACGTTGGACAAGTCATTCGCATCGTTTGCCTCGGCCATTGCCTCGTACAGTCCTTCCTGGGGGTACGAGTAACTGCCGGCCTGATTGGAGTCGTACCCCATGAAGTCCTTGTTGTCGTTATTGTACGCAGACTGGTCATCAGGGTTCGCTGGCGGATAGCTCGCCTGGCTGGAGGCGGCTGATAGTTGGCTGATACCTGCAACGGAAAAGCCAGTTGTATTATAGACAATAAAGACGAGCAAATGAGTGATGATGGCCTAAAGTTTTTTTTATGCGAAAAGGTCGCAAGTGATAATTACCGCCCGATGACATTTGAAACAACCGGAGGGTTGCAGATGCGTTGCCATCTTTTAATAAAGTGGGACCTGGCGAGGTTCAGGCTAGGCGCCCCGTGCGCCAGGCCACCTCAAGCCCGTCGGAACTGTAAAGGCCCCTAAGCCCAACAGTGGCTCATCTAGCCCAAAAAAAAGCGACCTCACCAGACAAATCGCAGAAGTGACTCACGAATAAGTCCCTTTACGTGAGACACTCACACTACACAGTTAGAGAAATTATTTCGGAATAAAACCCTTTCAAACATAAAAAAAATAATTTTTCAAATCCGTCTGTCTATACGAGTATATGACGTGATTTATTCGCGATACATAAAAAAAAAACATACGAACATCCGAATTAATAACCTCCTCCTTTTTGAAGTCGGTTAAAAATGCGCACGAAATGTGAACGAAGTCCTCATTACGAGAAATTATTCATCGTATTACGAAATCGTTGTTATACTCGTTAAAAGCGAAACGCACGCAAAAGGAGCGTAGCGATCTTAATGGGCTCTTTAGAAATTTTGAACAGAATGTTCGTCCTAAAGCTTGTTGTTGGGGGACGCTTGAGTCATATGAATAACGGGCATTGACTTTTGCGAGAACTTTTTTGTTTTAGCACTTGATTACACTAGGCCGCACACGATTACATAGGTTTTGTAGTAAAATATATAGTACTAGTGAAGTAAGTGTCGGTGCCTCCCAGTACTTCATAACTGTATACAGTTAGTAGTATTGGATAAAATAGTCCTTAAATATTAAATAGGAGGCAACATATGTAAATACTTTTATTTATGTATTTTGCCTATAATCTATAACTTTTTCACTGTGAATGTTATACTTTTGCGATTCAGGCGAATCGCAGAAGTAGTCAGCAGGTGGTGAATGCGGTATCTGGGCCCCACTTTATTAAAAGGTGGCTACGCATCTGCAGCCCTAATGGTATTGCGAATGTCAACGGGTGGCGGTTATCACTTAACACCAGGTGAACCACCAGCACGCTTACCACTTTCTCACATAACAAAAGACGCTATTACTATTATTTATTTTACATACTATTTTCCACGAGTCTTTTTATATTACTTTCCTGCTAAAATTTTACTCGAACCATTAGTTTTCATATTATTTTTAATATATTGCGTAACTTTGTATCATCGTATATTTGATATACCACATAATTTTATAGTAATGTCACCCGAATTTTAACAGTCGCATTTCTGATCACGCACCATGAGTAAATGCAAAAAATGAAAATATAATAATAATTAAATCATTTAAATAAATTAGGTTTTTAATGAAATAAATACTGTTTTACGACACAATTAGTCGACCTTACTACTTTTTAATCACGGTTAATCAAATTTTCGTCTTAAGTCTTCGTAGAATTTTAAATGAACAACTTTTGAGTAAATTATGAAGATTTTCCGAACATTGTAAAAAACTGCCCGCTACTCTTTTATGCTCATCTAATATTAGAGGGTCTTTCTTCTTTTCTTATTCACCTATCTCAGCGTATATTGGATATAATAAGAATATCAATTTAAAACATAAAAAGTGATTGGAATTTGTTCTAAAATTGTAGTTAATCTAAATGCATAAATTAATTTTAAATAGTACTTTCTATTTTTATTTTTTCATTAGCAGTCCTCAAACTTTTAATAAAGACCGTCCTCGCTTTTTATATTTTAATGAATTGCATTTGAGGAGTATTCTAAAAAAAAAAAAGATGAAATTAAATCTTGTCTCATTTGTATGCTAAGGAGAAATTTTGTTGCGGAACGCCGCGCGCTTCCGCAAAAGGTCTACGCGAATCGCAAAATGAATTCCACCTGTGCCGACTTAATTGAGGAAAGTCTGTCACAACTTTCGCTTACCTTTACCGAGAATCTTGCCGAAACTTCCCAAGATACTTGGAAGGAACATCGCCAGCAGTATGCTTTTGAACACTTGCATGCCGATCAGCAGTGGCAGGAAGAATTTTTTCAGCCCGAACGCTGAAATATACATAAAAGATTATGAAATACAATGCGCGCGTAAATAAAACAGTGCTGGTTCCGAACTTCCCATCTGCGATCGAGTCTAGTCTGCGAGTGAGTCTTGTTGTACATTATATAGTATCACTTAGAACTTTTACACTTTATACTTAGATTAGTTCTAAAGATAACATAATGAGATGCATACTATTTAAGATTGCTCTTTCATTAAGGATCATAATAATCTAGGATTTCTTAAAATTTACGTACAGATGTGGTGTGAGTTCAATCTTATAGAGATAAAAGTATTTGTTGGGATTACTTTGATTTAGTTAATCAATAAACTATATATAATAAACAATAGTTATGAAATAGATTAAACAATAATTACATCTGAATCCGATCAGTCGAGCGGCTTTAGGTAGATTGATTGACAGTATATGTGTTTCGACAAAGTTTTTTATCTTCTGATACAGCCTGTACTCGTAAGTGTACGTACTGAATAATGCTCTTCCTTCTACTTCTGTTTTCTCTGACTTCATTAACCCCTTCTTCGTATCGATAGGCCTTATTTCTATACCTTCTATAATTTCAAAATTATCTTTGCTTAACGCACTGTCCAATACTTTTTCAAATTCATTCTCCAATTGTTTCTCGGTTTGGTTCACGACAATATATTTTTTGGTAAACGTATCAACGGTGTCTATGATTTGCTCCATAAAACTTTCAGATCTGTTTTTTTTTGGCTCATTATTATTTCTCTTACGAATATTATCAATGTCACTTTGATCTAGCTTCCCTCCATTAATACTACTTTCACAAGTATGGCAATTATTATATTCTAAATTACTTCCTAAATTGTTTACATCTGTTTCGGCTTCACTTCCATCATGACTTAATAGCTTGTTTGCAGTCTGACAGTTACATTTAACAATAAGAAGGAGTACATATAGTACAACTGCTAAGTTCCTTTGAATAAACACCCTTTGATTCTGTGCGCTGCATCTTCTCCAATACAATCTTCCATTCGTTAGATCCATTTTCAATCAATAGACTTTCCAACTTCATCACCGGCTGTTAGGTTTGTTTTTATCGGAAGATAGTTACGTGCTCACAGATTGTGAAATCTGAAACAAGAAAAAGTTGTTATGAGCCTGCATAAATAATATTGGTATGATAACTTTCACGTGATTAGTCGTTGAGTGCGTATTGTGATAGTGATGCTTTTTATATTATAAGTTATTCTATAAATGATAGGTATCATAATAATTCTTAATGACAAATTATTGGCCATGATGAAAGTGGTACTGAAAAAAAATGTATAAAGAAATAATTCATTGGCCCGTTAAACTCACTCAAGAGACTAAAGGAAAAACTGTAATGAGTCTATTTCACGCTGGTTTCTGCGAAGCCGTCTTATTCTGGGAGAGTCTGCCCATTTGTGCAACAAGGCAATTTTTATATCAGTACTTACAGTAGCTGATCCGCATTTTTCATCATTTTATTAAAAACGCTACCAGTGTGTGACATGAAATTGATATTAGTAGTAAGTAGTATTTTATTCACCATTTCGTAATAGTCATAATTAAGCAAGTAGGTTAACTTTCAGATGCAGGCATAAAGTTCAAAATTATTCATTGTTGACCTTTTTAAGTGATAATAGTCATAATGTAATATCGGATGTTTGAGCTTTTAGTCCCAAAGTCAAAAGTCATAATACAACAGTTAAGCTTGCATCTAAAATTGGCTGCACCTACAACCTTTATTACCTTGAATTACTATAAATATGGCATATATTTACCGACGCCGCTGATAATGCCGCGGGTAAACCAAGCAGGTACATAAATGGAATAAAGAATACAATAATCTGATTTACATATTACAGAACACAATACAATATTAATATGAATAAAGTTTATTATAGTTCAACGTAAGAATATACATTTAAACATAAGTATTAAAAATTATCAAATTAGAAGTACATTTTCACTAGAGTACAAGACCAAATATATATCATGTAGTCCTCACACTAGGCCTAGCCTGTATCGTGAGACCTACTCCAAAATATTTCCATATATGATTAACGGCAGTGCATGGTGGTAATATAACATCATATTAAAATTTGTAGAAAAAATGGACGAAAAGTTATTCGCCGCTGCTGGAACCGAACCCACATCTTACAGATTCGCGCCCAGATATTTTAACCACTAAGCTGAACCGATTGGCACGCCGACAACGTATTTTATCTAACTTGTGTTTTGCATTATAAGCAAAAGCTCATATAAAGCACACAAACAATTTCAAATATCGTACCAGTCAGATAATAGCTACCGATCGAGCCGAGGTCCGGCCCTCTCGGGCACCCTCGAATCGGAATGCTAAACGCGTGCTGAGTGACAGCCCAAGCCGAGGTCCCCTCTCTTCCCCTCTCGTCCCCTCTCTTTTTATATCAAGCTTAACTTAACGTAAAATTTAAATAAGAATTTATTATAAGCACTTTCACGGGAAGGTCGATCGAGTCGGGTCATTCACGGGCTTTGGCGACGCCGATGCGAAGTCTGGATGCTCGCACAGCGTGACAAATACGTGCCGCGAAGAACCGCCTGTTGGGCGGCATTTTAACGGCCCGTGGTGAATAGTTGGAGTATGACTAACGCCCGGTTTCTGAAACACTGATCAACGTAGATGTTAACTATCATTTCTATGATGAGATGTTAATATCACTAACATTCTGATCATTATGAAGATCATTCTGATCAATTCGGAATTTAATCATCCTTTTGGCAACTCAAATAACATTTGAAAAGCCATTTGACAGCTGACTAGTTAATTTCTACGATGATCAGTGGTACAGAAACCGGGCGTAAGTGTATGCGGCTGTATCATGCTTAGCGTCCAGTGCCTACTCAATTTTTACAGTGAGATTAAGGTTGATTTTGAACGTTATAGTTTGTATATGTAAGTCAGTCAATATGTCATTATTATAAATGCAAAATTAATTCGACGAATGGATGTTTGATTAAATATTAGGTACATGGTTTGAACTATCTCATCGTTGAAAAGTCCTGAGTTAGTTAAGTATCAGTTTTTGTATACGCTTACTACATAATAACATTTGTTAAAGAATGTTTTGAGAATGAATATATAAGCAAAATACCGCCTGTTTATTACTTAAGTGTGAATGGTACTGACTGAATGGAAATTCCACTATATACTCTTTTTTGTATGTTAAATCATTACATGAATTTGTAAATAAACATATGTAACGTCACAAAGCGAATTATCTTTCTGAAAACATCTTTATCGTGTGGTTTTTAAATTTTTACGACTCTGATTTCACACAACTTGGGAGTAAATTAGAAGGGGAGCGTTACCCCCTATCGGAGGCATTAACGATAATGTATGCCAGCACTTTCATGTCGCCTGACTGATGAGATGATGTATAGGTATCGAAAACTTTTATTATTACACAGAAATATGCCGATAAATAAGCTTTGGAGAAGTGTTTTATGATGACAACTTCTGTTATGGCAGTTTTTTACTGTCGATAATATCTACGGGATATGTATCGATAGAATATTTCTGGAAAAATCGACAACAAGGTAAGCGATAGTGATGTTTTTGACGACATAAATAATTGAAATGCACGAATTCCGAACAAATACGGATTAAAATATTAAGCCAAAACTAATTTGTCGCTTTAGTTTATAATTAATCATTTGCAGAATCACATTATTTTGCAGCGAATTCAATGGCCTATTAATTACAAGTTTGAAGAACCCAACTTATAGTTCCGTTGACAACTTCTTTACGCGACTGTTTTGTGAACCGGCAAGTTCAACAGCATGAAGTTGCTAGCAATCAAGCAATTTGCTTTTAATTATTCAAAATATAGAATGTTAGCTAATAATAATTTAATTAGTCTGGATATCTAATTCGTTTTAATCTTTGGTTTACGAAATAATCAAGTTAAAGTAACGTTGAAATATTTTGTAGTAGATTTAAAAGTTTTTCACACCTTGATTACATGGATTGTTAACAAAATAATTACCATTCCACCTAATGAAGTGCCCAACTGAACATGATGGACCTAAACTTATTTGCAGTTGGCGTTTCTAACTTTCGAAGTAAGTAGCATGTCTCTATTATGTGCATTATACGGTACTTATGCAGCGTGTCGCTACCATCGCGACAAGAAATGAACACACGTCTAACGCTACTTGCCAATAATCATAAAAATATTAACGTTAAACAAAATCCATAATTAAAAAAAAATGTTCTTCAAACAAACTAATTAAGTAAAAAAGAAACAAAATTTGTAACATCCTATACAACTCGCGCCACAGCGTTGTGATACAAGCCTCTCCTTCATATGCCCCATATGCTTTGTGACCTTTACAAATGAACTTTACGTTACGCTTTTATAGGTAAGGATGTTCTAAAATTCTTTGTTTTGGAAAATTTAATAACTCTGTAAATATTGATGTTTAAAGAATTTAAATGTTTAATACAACTTTAAAAACTTATCCCCTATATGTGTGTTCATTTATTGTCGCGATGGTAACGACACGCTGTATATTATGACATATATTTATAATTATGAGCATTTTATACTTCAACTATGAACTCTACTTCAAAGGAAGATAAAGGACATTGCTTAAGTTTGTTTTTACTGTGACAGCGCCCAACGGCAGCTTTCGCTGCTGCGGGAATAAGCAGGCTTGACCAGAGCAATACCATGACCTCACAGAAGACAGGCGTGAAGCAGAAGTATTATACTTTCAATTTCGTTTGGTAAGCGTGGTTACCGGACCTGGAACTGTTCAAGGTCAGCGATAAACTTAAGCTTATTATAGATGTCTATGGGCTGTGGTAATTCACTAAAAAATTAGGCGAATCTTCTAACATAAACAAATAAGTGCTACTAATTCCGTACTTAATTGAACGAATTGTATATTAACCAGAACCATTCCACGTACGATTATTTTTGTTTTCGATTTTAGAGAAATGAGTTCTGTAAGTAAGTTTTTCGTTAAATTTTTTAAAAATTAAATTTTTTAACTATTGCAATACTAATCACAATATGTACTTTCCAAATATCGGGCTTAACTTGCGTTACGAATTCTATGTGCTGTTAGATCTTAATTAATACAACATTAACTTAGATCTCGGAGGATAATATCGGTATTAGGGACCGCACAAAGATACCCTTATAATCCCCATGTGAGTCTTTGGCCGAGTGATTGGTCTGTACATCGGAAGAGATTATGGTTACAGCCGAGTCGAGTGGTGTGGATTTCTACTTTTAGTACGAAAATTAATCAGTGAGATCTTTACAGATTTTCCATGGGTGAGTTCTTCATAACCTTTTCCTGATTAAATTCGCGTATGAGGTGGATGTGTATGATGCGACTGCGTGAAATGAAGAAGACGTAACAGTGTTGCTTACAACTATTATGTTCTAGTTACCAGATATGAAAGTTTGGTGTAGAAATCTGCCTAAATAACACAAATAAATACTCACGCCTGCCATCTAGAGGGA